CTGGCTCTGAGTTTTGGTGATTCTTTGAGCTGTGCACCCCACCTCATGAAGCCTCTGCACCAACCTGAGCCATCACTCACATGCAGAAGCTGAGGCCGAGGCAGACGGCAAGCAGGACCATGGCACCAGCTCCTCTGATGACCCCCTGAACCATTGCCTTCCTGGGTTCTGGATTCCCTGCAGACGAGAGAGAGCAGGGTGATCTCCAGTCCTCCTCATCAGGTATTTGAGCATCTACCTTCTCAAATCCATGGCTGATGAGAATGCCCACCATCATCAGTACCAGGTCCTTTGTTGCCATATCTCTGTGTGACAGCAGTCACTTGTCCCCTCTGCCCCTCTTCAGCCAAAGGATGGAGGACCCTGAATTCTAGTTCCCCTTAGTCCTGGATCAACCACTTTCTCTCAACTCCAGTATCTTATAGGATCCAGATTCTAGTCTCCTGTTTTTCAGGCCATGCCCTTCATAGTTCCCTGACTCAGAAGCAGGAAGACAGTGCCACTGTGGCCCTGTGGTCACTCTGGGCTTCACAGATGAGTCTGAGGTCAGTGCTGAGACCTCCGTGGATGTTCAGGGAGTTGTTGACCCAGGGCCCAGCAGAGCTGAATGTAACCGGGAAGGGGGCATTGCTACTGGTCTCCTTCAGCACTGCCTCCCCAAGATGTCAGCTCAGGGAGAAGGGTGGTCAGGCTTGGAAGGAGCAGTTGCAATGCAGACCCTCAGCACCCTCAGGAATAGAAGGGATCCAGAAGCTGTAGCAGGTCTGTGGGGATGGCAGAGAGAGATCTGAGGAGTTCCCTCAGGTTAGGACCTGTGTCCTACCCCCAGGTATCTCGCAACTCACTGTGCACAATGAGGTTCACAGAGGCTGTCTGAGTGCCCAGCACGTTCTGAGCTTGGCAGACGTATTTTCCATGGTCCTTCAGCCCCACCTGAGGCAACTCCAGAACCCCATGGTTGGAGGGCTGTGAGGGTTTCAGTGTCCGGTTCCCCCAAATCCATTTCAGCGTGGCAGGAGGGTTGCTGTCAGGGACACACACCAGGCGCAGGGACTCGCCCTCTTGGATGTGCAGAGATAAACCACTGCTCAGGGCTTTGGATCCTGGGGGGGCAGAGAAAAGGCTGAGCCCAGGCCCATTGGGCTCTGTCTTCAACTCATACCATGTGGGTCTATCTTTCACTTTCATGACTTGATGGGCTCATCCTGTAAGGACGGCAGAACCATGGGGAGAGAGCAATGACAGCACGCAGCTCTCCAAGAGCTCACACAAGGCCTTCTGAACTTCCTTGGTCCTCTCACCCTTTGTCCTGGCCATCTGTGCCACTCAGATGCCTGGCTTGTCTTTAGTAGTTTGCCATTCATTTCATCTGGGCTTGTCTAATTTACTTCTGTCTGAGGAGCTCACAGCTTGGGGAAAGATACCCCAAACCAGGTCTGCACCAAGCACTGTGACCACTAGGACCTGTTTTGTGGTGGAGCTGAGTATGGCAGAGATCCCACTGTTGACCCAATTGGCCTATCAGGAGGAGGAGGACTTCCTAGAGGGGGATGGCTGAAGGGGAACAGGAAGAAGAGGAGGGAGGTGGCCAGGGAAGATCCAGCATGGGTTCCTGTCAGCCATGGGGGCCAGCTCTAAGCTCCTCTGAGCTCAGCTGAACAAATTCTAGCTCATTTTGTGTGTGTGTGGTGTGTGTGTGTGTGTGTGTGTGTGTGTGTGTGTGTGTGTGTGTGTGTGGTGTATGTGTATGTGTGGTGTGTGTGTGTGGTAGTGTGTATGTGTGGTGTGTGTGTGTGTGTGTGTGTGTGTGTGTGTGTGTGGTGTGTGTGTTCATAGTGGGAAGGTTTTGAATTCAGGGCCTTTACTGATTGAGCTACACTTCCAGCCCTGTAGCTTTAGTCATTTTTCTGATAAGTTCTTGAGTTTTTCCTGTGGCAGTTCTCAGAATGAGAGCCTCCTACCTATGCTTCCCACACCCAGTTATTTTGCTGAAATGGGTTTCACTAACCTTTTTCCTGGGCTGGCCTTGTACTGCAATTCTCCTGATCTCCATCCCCTGAGTACCTGAGATTATA